CACCTGCGCGTCGCTGCTGACAGCAGATACCAAGATACTCTGTCTTCTGACGGAGAAATGGAATTTGGCCAAATTTCTGCTCCTGCTTCAGGATCCTGGGAGATACCTCATTCTCCACAGCAGCGGACACTCACGTGTAATATCTTCCATTGTGTAATATCTTCCGATAGCTAAACCCTCTTGTGACAATGCACGTTCTCTTGCATCAGGCTGTTTCCTCTCGCCATCTTATGATAGAATGGGTGATACAAAAAATATCTGGTGTTCCTGTAGGAATGAGAGTTATATGGAAGAGGAGGAAGCGAGAGTAGGTTAACGCTGACTGTGGACGTACTGGGAAGGCTTTGGAAAATGGCCTCTCCGTTCGCTGGCCCCACAGCGGTTGCTGATGTAATTAAAGATCTAGACACTCAGATAGCTGTAAGTAGAGCGCTGGGGCTTGCCACGGGGCCGGCATGTGGGATTTGTCCTGGGAATCTGCGCATCCCGTTAGTTTTGTGTTTGGTGATCTTAATGGCAACGCAAAGGGTGCGATAAGATCCACAAATAAGTGAACAAAACGACTTTATGCTAATAAAGTGCTTTCTGCCCAAGGATTTCAGAGCTTCCTCTCCTGCATGGTGGGTAAGAATTCCTGCTTTCTGCATTTGTGAAGCGAGGTGGGAGCTCAAACCAAGACTAGCACACTGAATCCTGATCTTGTATTGAGCTCCTCGTCCAGAAATGCCATCTGAGGGGGTTTAGGGTGTGAGTGTAATGGTTTTTCCATTGCTAATTAGTTAAAATTGAGCTAGGAACTTGCTGAGGACGCTACAGAAACGCGTCTTGAATATAAATTCTCCTCAAAGGGCTCTGTGTCTGTAGGTGCGGCAGTGCATGAGTGTGCCTTGGAATGAAGCACTAAAGCAGCCACTTCTAAGTACTCCTGTGTGATTTCTGGTTTGTGTTTTGGTATGAATTAATCCAAACTAACAAAGCTTGCTCTGATGAGGGGAAAAAGGTCTGTTTGTAGCTCAGGTAGGGGACGCTGTATTCATGCAAATGAGCTGTAAAGCTGTTTAAACAAACTCTCTTCTTTTCTAAGTAAGTTTACCCTGAATCGCATGGGCTTTTCAGAAGAGGCGTCTACTTCTCACCTGTCTCCGGGCCCAACAGCAGCTGCTGCCGCGTGAGGGGCTTTTACATCAAACCATTCCTTAAACGCTCATTTCACGTGACAGATCTGTCGCTGCTGCCCCCAGTGCTTGTAGGGGTGGAAGACCCAGAGTTTGGATGAGTTTCCTTTCACGGAGCAGCGAGGACGGAGCAAAGCTTCATCAGTCCTGGGCTTTAGAGCCTTCTAGCCATGAAATCTAGTAGTTGCCAGTCAGTCTGCGTGCTCGCTCGGTGGCTGGGAACCTGAAGAACTTGGCCACCGAAGGGTGAACTGGGAAGATCTGAGTGACCAGTTAAGCTGCCGCAAACCCACTTCTGGTTCTCCGTTAACAGCTCGGTAAACCCGACTTCATTCACTGTGGCTGTCGGTTGCCCGGAGTGGGAAGAACAAATTGAAGGTGTGTGGGGGTATGTGTATTTCTCTGTCACGTTACCTCTGAGTACCCAGACTTGTGCTCTGGGAAGTGAAACCGAACACCGTGTTGTCAAGCCGGCATTGAGGGATCGCTGCGGGTCAGGCTTGAAGTGTGGTGTTGCCGAAAACGAGACCTCCACCCTGCGGCAGACACCCGAGGGAGCTTGAACGCCGTCTTCTTCTCAGGCCCGTGGAGTGTGGAAATGAAGACTCGAACGCTGCGCCTGCTGTTCCCCTGCATCGCTGCCGCAGGAGCAAGCTGTGTCCTTTAGTTTAATCTTCTTTGCGTGGTCTTTTCCTCAAAGCTGTTTGTGGTCCAAGTGAAATCTGTTCAGAAGGGCCGTGACCGGAGGGCGAGGGGTGGACACGGCATGTAGAATTCAGCCTGAGGAACGAGCAGGCGGGTCGGTGGCACTGCAGACCTCCCGCCTCTTGCCAGTGCGTGGCATGCAGCCACTGTGCTTCTCCTGGCAAGCTTCGTATTCCATGTAGCAGGGAATGTTTTCTCTTCTTCTAAACGTTGCTCCTCCCTTCTAGCGCTGTGCAGAGACACCCGATCTTCTATAAACGTCTGGGCCCCATCAGGGCACTGTGGTTTACTCTGGACAAAGACATAATCGCCGTGTGGAATTCCTCCTGTTTACTAACTCTGACTTTTGTTTCCTTTTCCAGTTGATTGGTTTGGGTCCCCACAACCCCAAGAAGAAGCAGGACCTAGATAAGCTTTATGATCTAAAAGCTAAAGCCCAACAGATTATGAACCAGTTTGGCCCATCTACCTTGATCAACCTCTCCAACTTCTCCTCCATAAAGCCAGAACCAGCCAGCACTCCCCCGCAGAGCTCCATGGCCAACAGCACCACCGTGGCAAAGATGCCGGGGACTCCCAGCGGAGGAGGACGGCTCAGTCCTGAAAGCAACCAGGTAATTTTATCCCCTACTTTAGGATAATGGGGGAGATGCTCAGACCCGCCTGGGGCTTAATTCCATCTTTAAACTACCGGCAAAAACTTAATGTCTATTAAAGCATCAGTTACAGAGTGAGCAAACATCTTCGTGTATTTGTTCCCTCCCAGGCGCTTTCAGGCTGGATGGGGCACGGATGCTGTAGGTGCACGGTTTTTTTCAGTCTCAGGAAAATGTATACTGGGGGCATGATTTGAAAATTCTTTTAAAATGTGGTTTAGATGGGAGAAATAACAGTGCAGGTTTGTAGCCTCCATCTTACTGGGGTGGAGCGAGAGGCGGCATCGTTGCGTTGTGTTTGCTTGTTGTGGTGTGGAGCCTTTGACGTGCATAAAGTACGCTGCTGCCCAACAAGTGCTGCGGGAACGCAGCCTGGGCTCTCCGCGGGCTTCGCTGGCGCCGTGACCTCTCTGGGAAGTGTACGAGTCCCCCAACACAAACACAGGCACAGCAGTTCCACCCTCGGTGTGAGAGCACCAGGAAAGGCGGGAATTGCCCACGCGTGTCTGGTTCATCTGACCAGGCTGACGGGTCAGTGGAGAGAACTTTCAGCCGGATCCTATAAGAGTAGGTGCTCCGCTGTTGTTCAGCAGCAGTGAAATTTCTGCTCCCTGCCATGTTTGGGCTGAGAGGGTGCTGCCTTCTGCCCTAGAGTAACCCAGTGCTCTCGGATCCCTGTTTTCCATTTAAAACACCGAAGGTGATAAGCGTTAGAGCCCTGGAAATACTGCCTTTGTGCCCTGAGCGCCAATTTCGTCACTGAAACATTGCTTGCACTTGCTCTTTGCCTCTTAAGACTTCAGTTTTGCCTTTGTCCCCTCTTGCCCGCAGTTTTGCTTCAGCCAGTGGTGTTTTAGTGCTGGTTTAGTGCAGGAGACTTATATATCCCATCCTGCTGCATTCCACTTTCTGGTCAGATGCTTGAAAATAACTCCTTAACACCTGATATTTCTTATCTCTGCCATTGCTGAACTGATAACGCTGTGTCAACACGTGTGACTTGGGCTTCGGGGGTGGCGGGGGAGGAGGTCTTTTGTAGCTGCGCTGCGTGGGCAGCTCCTTGGCCGAAGTAGGGCACGGTAAATCGCTCCTCTTCTCCCACACGCTCAGGTTCTAACCAAGAAGAAATTGCAGGACCTGGTGCGCGAGGTGGATCCGAACGAGCAGCTGGATGAAGACGTGGAGGAAGTAGGTACCAACCCATGGCAGGGGCTGCAGAAAGACCTAATCTGGGATTTTTCACGGACCGATGGCCCCTTGTCCAAGGCAGGGAGGGTTGGTTCATATATCGCTGCCGTATTCTCACGTTCGCTGCAGCTTTCGGCCATCCGTGTCTGTTTCTGCGTCTCGGTGTCGAAAAGGGTTTTGCAACAGCGATTGTAGTAAACACCTTTGAAATACCAGCTTCTGCGGGCTCGTTTTCATACTTTCCGCATAATTTCAGCTGCTCAGTACTGATAAAACTGGTTGTTGCCCTTGTTCTGCCACAGATGCTGTTGCAGATCGCCGATGATTTCATAGAGAGCGTGGTGACGGCTGCCTGCCAGCTTGCGCGGCATCGCAAGTCAAACACCCTGGAAGTGAAAGACGTCCAGTTGCATCTTGGTGAGTGATTTATTTATTCCTGCCCCCCCCCCTCAACTCAGCTGAGAGCTGGGCGCACGCCCTGAAGTCAGGGCACGGCCGCGGCTTTGAGGTGGAAACCTGTGCGTAGCTACAGATTCGTTGATACTGAATAATTCCTTAATAATCAGGGAATGGAGGGGGTGTCTGCCCCAACCATCCCCTCTCCAAATATTGCAGTTGCGCCGTTTGTAGCTGTCCATCCGCCTGTGTTGGGAGGTCCATAGCACAGTGACTGTGTCTTTACCGTGTTTAATGCTCTGCAGCTCTCTGCCACTCTGCTTTTGGGAAGCTTTTATAGCTGATAGGTGGATCACCAGCACGGCTCTCGCACCGGCTCCAGCCAGGCGTGCTGCCCGTATGTTCGCGATGACGAGGCCGCTCTTGCGGTGGGTGGTTGGGGTAGAGCGTGTTGACCTGCGCTGTCTTTTCCAGAGCGTCAGTGGAACATGTGGATCCCGGGCTTCGGTTCTGAAGAAATCAGGCCCTACAAAAAAGCCTGCACTACAGAAGCTCACAAACAGGTAAGGAGCTCTCGGTAACCCCGAGAATCGCACGATAGAAGCCTGAAATGTGAAGGGTGGTCTTGGACTGCTGGCACGACGTGAATTTGTAGCCTCTTCCGAGTGGTTTGGACTTGAAATAACTTCCAGAGTCTCCTTGCCTGTCTGTGCGGAGAGGATTGGGGTCGCTCTGGCTCCTCTGTGGTGGTGCGGTGCCCGAAGAGAAGCAGCGGTACTCGCTGGCTGAAGGGCAGCCCCGCTTGGAAGGTTTAAAAAAACCCAACCAGCGGAGAGCTGCAGGCAATAACTTGTCAGCTGTCCCCTTGGCAGGTCGTGCGCTCTGTCTTTGCGCAGAAGGGACTGAAAACGCACAGCCTGGGGCTCCGGGCCACTCACCACCCTAAGAATTTAAACAGCTGCAGAAAGCCTAAAGGCCTCGGGAAGGTGCAGCAGAGAGCACACCCTGGTCCTGGGCTTGCGGCTGTAGATTGGAGCTGAGCGGCTCTGGGTTGTTTTTTTTCCCCCCCTTAATTTTGTTTTCACCAAATTGAGCCATCGCGTTTTAAGCGTCCGGTCAGAACTGGGGAGGAGCTGCCCCACAGGAGCAGTTGGAGGTGACGGGGGACACTGCATCTGCCCTTCCTGAACCTCCCGCAGCAGCTGCTGGGCGGAGAGAGGGGTCCTCGGGGTGGGGGTTGATCCCGTTGCCCCTCGCTAGCGTGGCTGTTTCGCTTGCCGGCCCCGGGTGTCGAGGAGAGGAGCACAGACGCTTTCTTTTCCTCTGGCTCCGGCTCGGGACCCCATTAAGATTCAAACAGACTCGAAAGACCTGTGTGGAAACAAGTCAGGCGGTGTCCTGAGAGAACCCGACATACCTTGTTCCTGCGTGGCTGCAGGTTGTTTTGCAGTAACCTTGTCTGAGACGCTCGGCTTCCCACGTTTTTCTCTTTCTTCTTACAGAGAATGGCACTGATTCGCAAAACTACCAAGAAATAGCCCCTGGGAAAAGCCGGGAGAAGACGCCAGTGCATTTTGGGATATCTGCCTCTCCACTAAAGCCTCCACGATGCCATCCATGGGATATTTTTTTTAATGCTTTACAGAGAAGCATATATTTTTTATTAATGGTGCAGCAATATCTTGACTTTATGAGGAGATCTGCCAAAAACATTCTACGCCCCCTTCCTCATTCCCCCTAAAAGCGCAACGTATCTCAAAACAGAGACTTTTATTTGTGACTTGAAAGTGGTTTATCGTATAAGTGATTATCCGAGGGACAGAGCATTTGATCTTGTGTGGGACAGTATTAGAAGCATCTGTAGAGGTTTTTGTTTCCTCCTTCCTGCCCCTACCTGCTCCAGTACTTTGTAATGTCAGTGTTTATATAAATACTTGCGTTTGTTTTACATGAATAAAGAAATTATTAATCTAAACCCACGGCACAGTCCTGTGCTCTTCAGGCAGCGTGGGGAGGGATGACCGGTGAAATGGGCAGCCTCCGCGGTGCCCGATTGCTGCGTGTGGTGCTGTTCTGGTACGAGATCTCCTGCCCTGGGCTTTAGAGTGAGTGGAAGGATTTGGCCGGGCTCTGCCGAGCTGATCGGGGTGAGCTGGTGCCTTGTGCCCCTCGCCTCCAGCCCAGGGTGAGTAGTTTCCTCATCGCTTGGACGGTTGGACCATTAGGAATGGGACGCGGTGACCGAGGACAAGAAATTAAGTTGATCCTGGTTCTCTCCTTGCCTGGGACGTAAGGAAAGGCCGCCTCCCCCTGCCTGTTCCTGCTGCTCTGCTCAAACCGCCCAACACCAGTGTGCTGCTGGGGCCCTCGGCCCGCCACTGCCTACGGGGGGACCCGCCTTGGCGGAAGGAGTTCAGAAACCAGTATGGGCGCTCTCCTCCTCCCTGTGAGTGCCGGTTAAGAAGCCCGCGGAGTGCGATAAACACACGCAGCCTCCCAGGCGAGGATAGTCTGACGGGCGCCCGGGGCGGAGGGAAGGTGCTTCTGTGCCCCGCAGCCGGACTCGGCTGCTGCCGGCGCGGACGCGGAGTTGTTCCCCGACTGCTCCAGCTCGGGGTACCGGCAGGGGCCGCCGTTCAGCCCAGGCAGCCTCGTCCTCCCAAGCGCGGAGGAGAGCAGCTCCGAGCAAACGGGTCGGGCAGTAAAAGGGGTTTCAGATCAATGCTGACCTGACGCGGGAGCCCGGATGGGGGGGATCCTCTCCGGGGGAAGGGGGCAGCCTCGTAGAAAGGGGTTTGGAGAGAGGTTAGGGGAATGGGGGTGACACCCGCCACCTCTCTGCAGCCCATCCCCGCCTGGGGACTTCACCCTTCCCACGTCAGCCGCAGTGCTGGCCGCTTCCCCTTCCCCAGGAAAACACGGGCAGGCGGAGAGGTGACCAGCGGGTGTTTAATGCGCCCGTGCAGTCGCTGCCTGCACCCCGGCTGCTCCACCTCTGCCTCACCTCCTGCGCATCGCAGTGGCCGGAGCCCAGTGTGTCCCAGCCCTGCCGGTACGGGCTGCCGGTGTCCCCACCTCTAGCACGAGCATCTCTTCCTCTTCTCTTCCTTCTCCGGCGCCCGTGCCTTGAGCAGCGCCGGCAGCGGGACACTGCATTTCACCCCGTCCCACGCCTCGGTGGCAGCCAGCCGCCCCGTTTGCAGTGCCTGGTAGATGGCCGAGGTCAACATCTGGAAAGCCTGGACCACGTTGCTGGCGTCCTTGGCCGAGGTCTCGACGTACTGCACCCCCAGCGAGGCCGCCAGCTTCTCCGCCTCCTTCCTGCCCACCCGCCGCTGCCCCGCCAGGTCGCTCTTGTGCCCCACCAGCAAGAAAACCATGCGGAATGGCTGGACCGTGTCGGTCACCTCCCGGTGCCACTGCCGGATGCTCTCGAAGGATGTGCGGTTGGTGAGGTCGAAGAGCAGCATCCCCCCGGCCGAGTTGCGGTAGTAGGAGCGAGTCACAGACCTGGGGCACAGAGAGAAAGGGGGTGAGCAGCCCCCCGGGGCTCTCCTGGGCAGCATCTCCCCTGCCTGCGGAACAGCCTGGCTCACGTCCTGGCCCCTGCAACCGGCACGCTGCTCTCACACCACCATCAGAGCAAGAATTGTCCCTTTTGCTGTCCCAGCAAGTGGTCCAAGCACCTCTGTCCCTGCTCGGCCACCAAAGCTCGGCTGTTCCCTGCAGCCACAGCTCCGGAGCTCCCCCATCCCATGCGGCCGTGGTCCTGGAGCTCCCCCATCCCCTGCGGCCATGTCTCCGGTGCCCCCCCATCCCCTGCAGCCGTGGTCCTGGAGCTCTCCCACCCTCTGCGGCCACAGCTCTGCCATTCCCCCATCCCCTGCAGCCACCTCCCCTGCCCTCCCCGTGTCCCCAGCAGCCATCCCGGCCGGCGGTGGGCAGCCCCAGCAGTGAGGTGTGGAGGCAGCTGAGCTGGGAAAACCACTCTGCCCAGTTCCTGGTGGGCTCTAAGCCTCTTCCCCCAGCCCTCTGCAGCTGGTGGGGCAGAGGGGTCCCTGGGGAGGGTCCCGTACCCACTTTGGCGCTGGAGCAAGGGCCAACCCCAAGGGCTCCTTTCCCTGGGGACACCTTTGGCTCTGACTCGTCTGGGCCCCTGCAGCCCACCCGGCGTGGGACATCGTGGTTCCTCACCCCCGGGGCTCCCCCAGCAAAGGGACGGGTGGGAACACAGCCCCATCCAGGCCTTCCCCAGCGTTGGGAATCACAACATCCCACCAGCAACCCAATTCCCCGGGGACCCCCAGCTCCATCACCTCTCCCCACCCCATGGCAGG